TTCGATAGAGGGCTGAGAGTGAATTAATGAAGTCTTCAAACGAGCTATGCTATGTACAGCGCTACCGTACTCCTTCAGCGACCTCGAACTCGTCTCCGATTTCTTTACGTGATAGTGCGCGAAGATTTACGGCTCTTAGCGCGCGCCAACTATAGTGACAGTTAATTGCGTGAAAAGCATGTAATTGCCCTACTAACCACAGAAACAAATTAGACGCCTATTTTCTTACAATAACAACATCTTTACACACAATAATTGCGACTGAACGACCTCAAACTTACGCTGACAAGAAGGGACCTGAAGCCAGGCCGGGGAAGGGGGGGGGGGCGTGAATTTCAAACCATAATAGCTTAGTTCATGCTAAGCTATCCATGAGCGCTACCCTTATAGCAGCTATTAAGCTACTGCGAGGTCATTCAGAAACATAATACAACAGTGTTATTTTTTGTAACAATTTCATTTGGAGCTACTTGGGCCAAAATACAAAGCCCTACCCTATCCACAATGAGAAATGACCACTCCACTACCCATTCACACCGCAAAACAAGTGCATCCAGAAACTACCCAAGGGTGAACAGTACAGCGATCTACGCTGCTGCTGCAATATGGCAACCGAAGTGAGAAAATTTGTACTACCGCGAGCTCGATCGTAGGATTCTCTGGCAGAACCAAGGCAGCAGCTTAGTTAAGTCTTCCAAAACATCTGTCCACCCCACGCGATCGAGATATTCCGCGCACCCTGCAGTGAATCCTTCCCCCATTAGGTGATTTCTCATCACCATCACTCCTTCCCACGCCGTCTGCAAGCATCCATCTAGCAATACAAAAAACCCGAGATTCCGATCTTTACACGGTTGGGCAGCACGGAGACGCCGTCTACCAGAGCTAAATTGTGACGCGGCTACGGGACTAGACTAGCCTTATAAGCCAGTCAAGATAACTCTTCGTGGGTGAAAGTTCCATAATCGAGCTCGCACAGAAATTTTGCCAATCACTCAACCAGATCTCCGGCAACCAGCCAACTTCACGGCTAGCTGGCAAGCTGACTACCTATACATATAGCCAGAGCAACTGGTCGGTAAATCATATAGCACGTCAGACTTGAGCATAGAAGCTGACAGCTATTCTAAAGGGTGCAGTACCGCAATTCCACGAAATAAGACAAACGTTGAAGCTTTCGTTTTAGTTATTAATTCTTCGATGACTAGATTACTTTGCCATCGGAAATACGTACCTGTTCTTCTAATCCACCATGCCTCATCCCCTAGTTGGTCTTTCGCAGAACTCTCCACCACCCCGCCAGGCACTTAATACCTTTTCCGATACCTGTGGCACCTACAAAAACCTCTGCGCTCTATTATTACCAGTTCCTCCAGCCGGCCTGTCAACCTCATATTCTCCAAATGTCCGTGCGCACAGGCGCGTCTCCGATGATTATGATTATGATGCGCTCCAGTGTTACTAGTTTTTCGCCAGGCGCCACCGACTACCAAAGGATTACTGTAAGTTGTAGATCTTTTGTGTCGTGCGTCAGCCCAGCCGGCCTCTGTGCAGCCGTTATGGTGGCTGGATAGTGAGGATAGGAACCAGTATCTGGGTAATCACCGAGGCGTCCGATTATCGTCCAACTCACTTCGCCTCCACTACCGGTAGGTAACTCGCCAAAGATGAGGAGGGGACTATATGTAATCGACTGGAGAGAGAGGGACTCGTCGAACAACATAACGGACGACTTTCCCTTGGAGGATCAATCTTTGAGCTTCTAACTGGAGAACGCGAGCCATTATCAGGTGTGACGACCTTTAGCAATATGGTCAGGTTAATTCTGGCGTCAAGAGCCGGCTGATAATTAGAGCTCCAAAGCAGTCGCAGGCCACCATGTCGAGAGACAGCTAGGGCTGAATCCACTTCGAATGCATGAAAAGCAGGAAAGAAAAGTCACTAGATTCAAAAGTTTCGGGGTCATTTTTAAGCAAAGTCATTCGTCTGCATCTCCACATTCCATCCCTAGTGGGCTCTGACAGAACCATCATGAACTCTGCTTCTTAGATCTGACTCCGAGCACTTGCACCAATGCTTTTAACGGATGGCCTGGGAATGTTCTCGATTTTACATTTTCCGTCATTACCTCACTTCCTAGACCTATAGAATTATTTAGTGTATACGACCACCACCAACATCTTCGGTACTTGGTATTATTGGCTTTCAGCATCTGTTGGTTTGGGAAGCATTCATATTGCTCTCGTGCTTTCTGTTTTGCCAGAATAAGGCATGCTTCCAATTTTGAAGTATAGGTGAGTAGATTTTAATCGCCTCAAACATTGTGAATTGAAATTAAGTGTATGGCGCATCCCATGTTATTCACCTTCGATTCCACCTTAACATATTCCAAATCGGATTTTGAACGCCATGAACGTCGATTCCGCTTCATCACCTCGAATATTACCGCATAATTACGTGGCGGTTGAATGAGAACAAAGCGTAAGCCGCCACTAAAGGCATTCGTTCCCTGAAAAACGACTTCTCCCGCCAAATAATTAGTTATCTCGTTCGACACGGACTACGGTAAAGGTCTTTGCTGGCGGTATTTTGATCAGGTAACGGGAAGAAAAAAATCAGACAGGGGTTAATTTGGAGCGCGTTGGTGGCCATAGCCGACGACGAGGTCAAGCGAAGGGATGCGCATGATTGAGGTATGCTATGCACCTCAATCACCCACCGGCCCTCACGATAGCTGCATGAACGATCGCTCACCTTGTGATTCGTAATGTAATTGTTGTATGAGGGTCGGTTAGTGACCCAAATCTGGTATGAAGGATGACTTCGAAGTGTCACCACCATTCCAGAATGCGCCACGCTTTCACCTTATATTTATAATCGGGAGAGCTTTCAGAAACCTACGCAGTCGTTTCCTAAGATTGAAAAGTTTTCATGTCAGCATACAACTTTCCAGAACAGGTGTAACACCAACCAGGAGCAACAAAAAAGGGAATGGTATTGCCATTCTCAACAAAAAAAAAACAAGTCTTGGGACTAATTCCTGGAATTTATAGGGTTTTCCTGCCACAACAAACCAAGATTCCGTTATCTTGACAATTTAAAATCAATAATTTAGAAATTTCTTGTGGGCCAACTGGGGCGCCTAGGCAGCACAACTGCAATGAATAAACCACAAGAGATTTACCTAGCATAAACTAAAATCGCTGAGTGACCACCTGTCATTTTAGGTAAGCGACTAACATTTGGATATGAAGCACACTGGGATACTAAATGTTCGATAGAATCGTTTTATCGTTTACACCATAGTGCAGGATCCGCAAGTAAGCAATTTCATACGAAGGCGTAGTAATCATTATTTCGTCATGGAATAGATTGCCAAGGAGGTGTTAACTGTAAACACTATAAAATCCGTGCTCCAGAGAAATCATGGCTTCTTTCTGTGGCCTTCAACCAGAGTGGATTAATCGATGGCTAAGCAGTGAAACAACCGCGAATGTTTGCATACACCCTAACACTGGACGCCTTCATTTGAACTCGAGCAGGCCAATAAGGACGATAACTTGAAACTAGCAAAACAGTATGCAACGAAGGAAAATCGGTAACTATGGATCAATAGCAGGTAGTCCGCGGCATGGAATCTACACCCAATTAGCCACCTCGGACTCCAACGTATACTGTAACTTCACTCGACAAAGGTCATCAAGGTCATGGCGATTTACGTACAGAGAAGTTTATCCACAGTGAGTGTCCTCGATTCGCTTGGAAGTGAAACTTTGAACAATTTTTAAAGGTCACCAAATAGTTCAAACATGAATAGTGGAGACTACTATTTATTATTAATTTTTATTTATTTGTTATATTTATATCAACGTGACACATACAGAGTGTGCCAAGGAAAAAAAATAAATTTAGATTCTTAGATCGGATGCCTGTGATAACAAATGACTTGAGGTGGAGTTACAAAAGACTTGCAAGGGATCTAGGGAATTTGGAAAATAAGCGACATTCGATGACTTAAAAGTAAGCGAAAGTTTATCAAAGATTCCCAAGACTGTGTAAACTTTCGAGCCTTAAATTGATATATTCAGAGTTTCTGGTTCTATTGACACTTATTTGAACGTTTTCATGAAGTCCCTTCGTATCGAAACAAATTGTTTCAACAGAATCATTCTCTATCCGCTCGAACTATTCAAACTTCAATAACCGCTTGTAGGTAGGCTCATTTGTGGAACTAAATATTTATATTTCTCTCGCCTCAAGGAGGCTCATGATCAGAAGAAAAGAGCAGTAGAATCTACTGCCTGTGTGTTATGTCATTTTGTAGCTATCTGACACCAGCAGACCGTAGTATTAGCCACGTTCCCAGTGAAATGCTGTGAATGCGCACAGCCCAAAGAAACATAACAGTACTGAGGATTTCAAAGGACCCTCTGAATTCATATCTAAAAGTGCAATCGTTTTCAAAATCTGGCGAAGAATTTAATTTGCTCAACACAGAGGTTTAGTTCATGAAAACATTTGCTTATACAAAAAGTCAAGCGCTTTCAAAGACACACGCGGATGTACTTCATAAATGGGGTAAAATATGAAGTGCAATCGTAAGCGTACGCGCTCATCGCTTCTATACAATATCGAATTCATAGGGAAGATCTGTAGCTACTGCTACTACCGACCGCTTTAGGGATTGAAGCGGGCCGTAAAAATTCCCTCTGGTGTTGTATCAAATGGCCTGTGCCGATAGGAGGTTCTCACTCCTGATTTCCATACCGTAAAAGTGATCTAACAGGAGCACTAACGCTGCACTGAACCAAAACCATAAGCAATTGTTGTATGAATAACTTCGTAATATCCCTGAACAGTACTAATATATTCAGTTTTGTTGGATCAACTTTATGATAAAAACTGTTCCAGGTAAGAACGCAACTGGTTCAGCTCACCATAATCACCGTGTCCTGAAGGGGGATCTCGACCGGTTACGAAGACGATACTTGAACAAACACATGCACAGCCAACTACGTAGGAGGTTTCGGCAGCTGATATGTGAGTCTTTTCTTTTCTCACCTGCTCGATTGATTGACAGGCAGCGGATTGAATTACGCCGTGCGCGTGGGCTCTGTTTACGATAGACCGATGGCTTCCATAAGCAGACGCGCATTACGTCGCAAGACGAGAGACATAAGGAGAGGGATTCTGGGTGATTACTGTAGCCCAGAGAGAGCGTATGGTACTCACTCCAAGTAATGATAAGGACGTCTATACACCCTATAGGCGGAAGTGGGGTAGTGGCGAGACGTGCCGCTTACTACGCACATAGCTCGAAGCGCAAATGTTGGATCTAAAGCCGTCTAGGCTAGCCTACCCTCCCTCTAGGGGTGGGTGACTGGTACGTAGCTTGTCTGAGAGGACACACGCACCGACTTACACAACGACCGGCCCGCATGAGTCATTGTATGGAACTCATCACATTCAAAATTCAACCGCGATTCTGAACAGAAGTGAAATGCGTGGCGCATCCTAACAAGGGATCGATCGACGCTGAGTATTATTTTTCATGCTTCTCATAGCTACTGTGGAGTTTCAATGGAATTCACAACCGAGGTCAAACCACGGTAACGAGTTCCCTCAAACGTCAGTCAGCCAAGTGAAGACGGTCACCTTGACTTTCAGAGGGTCCATGTAGTTCCACCCTGTGAAAGTCAAGGTAACCAGATAATAAGCAATTGACTCCTTGAAGGCTAGCTGAATCGACGTCAGTCGCCAAGTGAAACGGTTACCTGAACTTTCAGAGGTCCGGCATGTAGTCCCAACCCTCTGAAGTCAAGGTAATCCGTCTCACTTTGGCTGACTGACGTTGATAGCTAGCCTTGTCAGGATGCAATCTGTAATGCCAATTATCGGCGAAGAACATGAGGCCCATGCGGCACACCTTCCAGGCGCACTATTTTTGCATATGCCTTAATGTAATCGTTCTTTCACTTGGATGACTTTCCACCAGTCAGTCGGCTTCACGTGCTGAGGCGTTAAATTGACATCAAACGAATTATTCATCGTATTCGCTTCATTGTTTCGCTTGGCTTCTCACTCTCGAGCAGCTCTTAAATTGACAACGACCACCGTCACTGCCTCTTCCGAACCCATCCCACTCGGCACTTAACTTTATTGCCAGCCACCCACAACCGACGTCGTGCCCGCCATTGTCGTTACTTAAGATCAAGGTCAAGGCAAATACATCTCAACCATGCCCCACAGCCTTAGCACGTGCCCAAAACCCGAAAGCGCCCCCGGGATCGCTTATGGAGACGCAGGGATTTGGAAAAAAACTGTGTTTGAACCAGTCAGGGAAAAGAAATTCGTCAAACTTCAAGGTTTGAAGAAAATTAAAACATGAAACCACTTTTTGATATAACAACAGGCGTTTTAGCCTTGGAAAACAAAATTTAAAGATACTTGTAAAACCTTCGGTACCAAATGCAATTACCTAGAGATTATTTCCCCATCTTGGTATAGCACCAACCAGACCATGAAAAGCTAAGTTTTTTTAAACATAGCTTGCAATACGTCTTCTATTTGCAGCCAATTCAATTCTGCACGGGACCATATTTCCATGGCTCAACCACTGCCAAGATACTGTGACCACCATGACTCTGATTTTTCAAAAAATCCCGGGTTTCGCAATTTTTTTAGCAACTGTGGCCGCGGGGTTTTTTCGCACTACGGGAATGTCCCTACTAATTTCCAAGACGCTTGTCCAAAGTATTCGTGAGTTTAGAGCCGTAATGATGAGCAAAAGACCCAAGCAACACATATTCTTACGTCCGTAATTGTTCCTAATATCATTGCTAACTACATTGTTCACACTTGATGATTCCGCTTGAGCTCTCTATCACTGAAGTACTCCTCTTTAGAACACATTCCGATCACTCATGCGGAATAACGGCTACCGGTAGACTCGACATCTTCAATTCCTCGTTGTGGTTGACGGCGAGGCGCTTGGTCGACCATGAGGCGATCAACAAGTAATTTTTCCAGTCACATAAAAACAGGAGACGATAGCGTGAAATATTCAGAAGCAGTCAAAATTTCGTAAACGGAGCAGGAAATTGCCGATTAATTCTTTGTTTTGAAGGCGCACGTCCTCGTGCTCAACGGAACCTACTCACCCCCGTAGACAAGACGACAATATTATGGTCATAAAATGGAGAAAAAAGAAAAACATGCGGTTTGATGATGCATCCAGTAATTGATTTACCCGTACTTCAAAATTGGCCGCATCTGAAAATAATCAAAACTCTTGAAAAAAATTTTTTACAGATAATGCGATGCGTGAACCCTATTCTCGCTAAGAAAAAAAAATAAATGTGCAAGATAATCGTAATCAAGAGGGAAATGAAAGGTTTTAATTGCGATTGTCTTGTCTGGGTTGCGCCATGCACAAGAATAAGTACGAAGAAAGCAGCGGGTGTTGAATAACTTATGCAAACAAGTAAGGTGGTAGGCCCATTTCCACTACCAACTGCTAACGATCTCAAAACATGGGTACTGAGCAGGCCTACATAGCTCGTCCCCGGATACTACTAGATTCTTAAAACGATTATATGGAGCACCTTCACGCTAGTGTTCACAACTTACCAGGAAAGGCATTCAACTTCCCATGGAACTTTGAGATGAGACCCAGATATATCGATAGAGCTTCAAACGCTGATTACAAATATGGAAACTAAAACTGCAAAATGAACCTGCCAAGGAAGTTGTGAGCAGTCAAAGTTGGCTGGAAGTAAAGCATTACACTAGCCTCCGGGCTTTCAAAGTCGCCGTGGAGTAGTGGTAGTGCTCTCGGAATTTGCGCTCCGACGGGAGGAGAGCTTATGACCTCCAGGGTGAATAGCGAGGGCACCACCACTGCTCCGCGGCGACTCTGAAAGCCCGGAGGCTAGTGTAATGCTTTACTTCCAGCCAACTTTGACTGCTCACAACTTCCTTGGCAGGTTCATTTTGCAGTTTTAGTTTCCATATTTGTAATCAGCGTTTGAAGCTCTATCGATATATCTGGGTCTCAATTCAAAGTTCCATGGGAAGTTGAATGCCTTTCCTGGTTAGTGTGCCGCTTCTACTCAGAATCATACATGCATCTGAAAGCTTACTGGCCAATAACTCCTCGTCGAAGAATGCCAGCGATGATCACAAATACATCCTCCTTGGAACTTTCTATCTTTTGTACTGTATTTTAAGGTATTAAAAGCTTTTATGTAATTGTAACATGATACCAGAGGAGATTGTTTATCGTCTAATGATCAAATCAATAAGTACTCTTTACTTTTTATTTCGTGCGAAATTCCTGCCGATCAAACACCTTCCTATTGTCCCAGGTATCACTATTGCGATCGCTATACAAATAGTTTCCATAAAAACTTATTGGTTCTCGGCATATGAACGTTTCTCCGGCGAACAATGAAATTCGTTAACAACACATCTCATACGATTGCAGAAAGCACCTGACGGATTTGAAGAGGGGACAACACGCTTTCAATAGGCATACTGCTAGACAGATAACTCGTACATTTACCCAAATTTCTAAATGAATAATTCTTCGTTTGATGATATACCTCATCGAACTAAAAAATTGACATCTCGATGATGCGCCATGCATTGAACTTCCAATCAGAATCGTGGAGGTCATGATTTCATTTTTGGAAAATGCTTCCGAACTATCTTCAGTGACCACGTTCCAGTCACTGTTTGAGAAGAATTTCGTATTGACTGGCCCCAAAATAGGAAAGATATCGTTGTTTGGCGCCGATTTCGTATGCTCACATAGACAGTGCCAATTGGTGACACACATTCAATTACTGAACGCTTCCCCTTAACACAAATTAACCCTTCTCATTTTTGAAGAGAAGGCAAGCGCATGGCGTATAACGGATATTTTATGACTACCGACCCAGACCCGCTACACTTTTGAATATGGTAGAAAATTGTAGAAATGGTTGATTGCGTCTAGCCCCACGCACAAAAACGTGTCAAAAATAGATTAAAAACGCGAGAAAGACTTTTAGAAATAACAATGGCATACCACAAATTCACTCAAAGCGCCATTTCAATCTACAACCAGCTTGCTGTTGTGCCATCCACGAAATCGTAGAGCCGCCATGTAATTATTACTTGAACAGTGGTGACTCGACCTTGCATCAGGCGTAGAACTGGCACTGGGCCAAAAGCGTTTGAATTTCGCACTTCTCGAGCCGCTTTGTTTCACACCCTGAACGCAACGGAGATCGCCAAACCAAAATGATACCGTAACCTCAGCATTCTCCGACGACACCTACATTCACCCATTGACCTCGACTTTGCGCTACACACCAAGGATTACACACCGTTGCGCGTGAAAATTCGCTAACGACCGACTGAAGATTGTCGGCCACTTCCTTGGATACGGTATCGTACCTTGTGTGTGATTGCGTCAAGTGCTCTCTGAGTAAAATGGATAGAGCTACAATAAATTACCACCCTTCAAGGTTCAATACAGAAGTGACGGAGGGTCACAAAAAGTAGTTCAGTGGATAAGGAGAATTTCGCGTGGGGCTCGGAGGATTCCGGTGACGCATGTGCGAACTCGACAAGGATAGTATCGGTGCCTCGCAACTGTTCCGATTTCCGATGTTGGTACAGTACAGCTCGCAATACTTAGCTCCCCAGTTTACCACTGTTGTCATGATCTTGATCCACCTCTCCTAATAGCTCACTTCATCTCCACCCAGAACATATCGACTTCAGCTATCGCTCAATCTATCGATAAGATAGACGTTGTGTCAGAAATCTTTCAGATGCTCGCTTTCTATCAAAGGTGCTAAGTCTCAAAACGAATTCATAAAAACCGATCGCAAACAGTTAAACAAATATTTCAGCGCAAAATCGAATTCACAGCCCCATTTCCTATTGTTTTCCTTAAATGGCTTGATTACACAGTTTATTGCACTATGCACTACGGTTACGGTATATTGCCGGAGGTTAAACAAATTCTTTCAGGTGAGTGAGAAAACATCGACAACACCTGAAGTGACATCTGAAATTCCCCGGGATTAACGCCGCCACTGAAAAACGCACATTGAAGCTGAAACGGGAATTTCGTTCGAATTCCATGGATCGCAGCAGAAAGTATTCATGAGCGTTTTGCAAGTTGATGATCAGCTTCCATTTCATATAGTCTATTCTCCCGCAGTGGCTCAGACACCTTCGTTGTTTCCTTTACTGTTTTGTTCTGCGCTCACTTAGCTTTGACAATTTCAATGCGTATGGTGATATTTATTCACTTTTATTTATTTATTGCACAAAAGGTTGCTGTTTTCCAGTTTTACGTTTTCATACTTCGCAAGGAATGACGTCTTCGACCGACTCCAAGATTGCTGCAGAGTCTGGAGGGGGATAAAAAGACTTGGTGCTGGATTTAAGAAAGATTTGTAGACGTGAGCCATGCACACGCCTTTTGTCAAGTAAAGGAATAGGGCACCATCGTTACTGACAATCTATAAATGACTATCAGAAGTTGACTACAATGTTCGGGTAACCCTTTGCATAAAAGCCAGGTCAAGTCCTAATAAAGTAGACCTCATGAGATGATATGGCACTGAGACGTAATCAGCGGATAGTCAAATCGTGCCTAAGTAGCAGCAATGCTGCCAGTTTACACATCGATAATGCCACCTAGCAGTGTAGGAAAAGAGCAGGCTCGTGGACACTGGGCTGCAGGGCTGCACAGTAGGCGGTTGACTAGTTTCACCCTCATGCTCCCGTACCAAACGTGTAGACACTTTCATAATTTTGGCAGCAAAACAATGTGGTTAAGCGTGTCTTTGAGTCCCATGGTTCATGCACTCCTGGCAAACTCCGGGATAGCCTCGCATCATTTTACGCCCAATATCAGTCAGGCTGCCTACATTAAGACTGTCTCCCTAGACGAGATCTTAGCAAAGAACATGGAGGGTCGGCTGACATGCGTGTGTGGCCAAAACTGCTTTCGCTGGGACATGTAGGGTATTTCGCAATGATTCAGGAGAGTAGATCTCTGATTATGTGAAGTTCAAAGGACTCCACAACGCCTTCCAGGTTTCATCGTGCACCACGATTATCCACAGGATGCACAAAGTGTTTGGCCCTAATCTCAACAACGGATTAGATGGTCCACAGTTCAAGTGAGTTCCATGACCTCTTGGTTGTCTACCTCTCCAAATCACTCAAGTAGCGATCATGCAAACTCGATGACATGCGTAGAATTGTTCGGCGACTGATGTGCGTCCCCGTTTCTAATTACGGTACTGTGTCGGCGTCTCTCCAATGTGTACGATCTTCTTCGGACGCGGCTAGCGCCAAAAGCACCGCGCGACGGTATAATGAAGCGCTCGGAGGGCTGCATTGTTGTCGGTGATCGCGGTTCGGTGGATTAGCGGAATTAGCCCACGTAGACAGCGGCTAACCTCGATCGTACATCGGTACATCGCCGATCAAAGACTATCAACCGAAGGGGCTGGAGATCGTTTCCGTCAAGATAGTCGGAAAATTGCTTGTACCACGAATGCGGGACTAATGGTAAGTAACAGAAGGGAGACCTACTTCTCCTTGGAACGACATTTAGATAAGGCCATCCTTGATTATATTCATGTCCTGATCGAAGTACACTACTGGAGTACTACTCCCATACAACAGTCGTCAGAGGATAGGCCGGTGTCAGACTTTGCGAATACAGCGAATCGCTAGTTGCGAACCCGTGAATTCGCAAAGTCTGACAAAGGCCTATCCTCTGACAACTGTTGTATGGAAGTAGTACTCCAGCAGGGTACTTCGATCAGCCGAAAATGCGCAGGAAGTCGGTGCTTCACATTCCTCAGTTGGAGTAATCCCAATTTTTCATCTATTTCGAAGCTTCCAAGTATGTGACTGATGTACAATATCTTCAATTTCTCCCTTATCACGAAAGGCTTCATTGACAACGTTGTTCTTTCACTGTGTAACTAATCAGAAATAATCTATTCAGTCTCCAGAACAATAGACTAGTTGCTTTGAATGTGGTGAGTGCTCCCACTACTACATGGAAACTCCATCGCTGGCGAGACTTCGGAGGGATCTTCAGAGCCTGATGATTTCCAAGAACAAACAACTCCGAATCAATCCTATCCACCGCTCGAAGTTAGTAATCTATGGCGAAGAAAAACTTTTAGATTCTCCAGGAACACAAACAGAACTGGAACTCTCT